GAGAGAGAGAGAGAGAGAGAGAGAGAGAGAGAGAGATGGTTGGTTGCCATGGCAACCCCGAGCCAGCATCCCCATGGTCGGTGGGGGGAGGGGACCACTGAGCTGGAGATTTTCCAGAAATGTCTTCCATGCCACCCCCCAGGCTCCTCGGCCCCCACTCCCCAGCCCCCCTTCTCACCGCCCCCCACCTGGTCTGCCTGCTCACGTTTATGGTTGTTTTTCCGGTGGAAGGGCAGGGCGTGGCGCTCAGTGTTCTCCTCCCCCTCCTCCTCAGCCAGGTGGGTGTGGGTGTAGTGGTAGCTGAGCCCCGGCCGGTTCTTATACCGTTTCCCACAGACTGGAGAGCGAGGAGGGCTGGTCAGCCCCTCCCTGGCCAAGGCCATCTCCACCCTGGCCTCCAGATCACGTCTCCCCCAACACCCCAGCTGCAGAGGCCTGAGGATCCCCCCACCCTGGTGCAGCATAGAAGGGAGGGGCCGGGAGGGGAGAAGTCTCTGGGCCCCTCTCTTTCTGTCTTCCCCCCTCTTCAGAAGGACTCACTATCACAGACATACGGCTTGTCTCGGTCCTCCAGAGAAGCGGTGTCCTGGCGTTTCCGGAGACCCCCGATGCCATACGCCTGGGGCAGAGTCAGGGGTGAGAGGTAAGAAAGAGGAAACCAAATGAGCCGTCGGATACGGGAATCAGATTCCCACCTCTGGCTGCAGGGCCTTAACCTCTCTGAGGCCGCTGCCTCACGGGGACCACAGGAGGAAGCTCCTTCTAACCCGCTGCGCAAACTCTGGCAAACAGCTTAATCTATCCGAGCCTCCGTTTCCTCCTCTGTCAAATGGGTATAAAACTCCCACACCTCAGGTCTTCTGTGGGGATTAAATTAGGTCCAACTTGTGGGCAGGGTGTAACCGTTGCATGTGCTGCATAAACAGGCTCTGTCCCTGCTGGCAGGGCTGCTGGAGCAAAGCTCGGGGCTACTACCTTTCCTTTGGCTCTGTTTTTCCTCCTGGGAATGTCATCCTCCAGGTCTTCCACCTCGAGATCATGTGGAAACTCCAGCAGCTGCTGTTTCTGGGCACCAAGAGAAGGGAAACTGGGGTCAAGAAAGGGGCGGCCATGTCTTATTTTGAGGAGGGGCTCTGGGAGAGACAGGAAGTCTTCCAAAAAGAGACAGGGTACGGGAGAATGGAGATTTGGGATGCTCAAGGCCCAAGAGAGCCGGGGACACTGGAAAGCAGGAATGTGATGGGCCAGAGGAGGGGTGGGAGGGGCCTGGGGACAGGTCCTACCTGACAGTCCATAATGGCTTCCTCCTCCTTCAGCTCAATCTTCTTCTCTGCTGTCTCAGCGCACAGCAGAGCCTCAAGGACTGGCCCTTCTGGGAGGCCACCCTCCTTCTTCAGGGGCGTCTCACAGTCTGGGGACGGGGACATGGGGAGGTCATGCGGGGAAGCTGTTCCTAAAGGACTCCTCTCACTGCTGTGGGGGAGGGAAGAGGCTTTCCTACACTCAACCAGCAACAGCACAGGAATTCAGCCACACACTGGGAAGATGCTGAGATCCAGGGAAGAGACAGCCACTCAGACACACTCAGGGGAGACATGGCTAGACCCTTGGATACACCCAGACATACTTGGCAAAAGACACAGGCAACCTGCAGACACTCCCAGACCTACACAGGGAAGAACAGCCAGACCTCAGATACACGTGAACTCACATGAGACAGCCAGACACACAAAGACACCAACAGACCCTCAGTGGTACAAGGAGATATATCCAGACCTTGGATACACTCAGAGATACTCATAAAGAGATACAGTTAGACCCTCAGACATACCTAGGTCCCCATGGGGAAGACACACCCCCCAGAGAGGACACAGCCTAAGATATGATACACCTGGACACACCTGGAGGAGGCAGAGACACACCCACAGAGAATCAGACACTCAGGCGACACGTGAACATACACAGAGGTGATACAGACAGCCCTTGGAGGCAAGTGGACACACACAGGAAGAGACATAGCCAACTGGACACTCCAGTACACCTGGACACACAGACCCTGAGGTACACCTCCAGTACACCTGGACACACAGACCCTGAGGTACACCTGACAGGGAAAGAGCAGCAGCCACTTGCTCTGATAATCCCAACACCTTCAAGAACCAGTAAGGCCAGAATGAACCAGAAACACACAGCAGAATCTCCCTAATACTCCAGACCCAGAAGGAAAGGGACTGTCCTGGACAACGCTGAGGCACCTGAACACTCACAGGAAGAGACAGCCAGACACACTCAGGAGAAATACACTGGAAACACCTGGAGAGACATAGCCACTCGATACACACGTGTGGAACGATTACAACCAGATATTCTAACGTACCCACATGCACAGGATGGACAGATATTCTGACACATCCGCACACACACAGGGAGCTCAAGAGTCACATGCACTCAGGGACCGACATTGTGGTACACCCCAGTTCACAGAAACGCGATACACCTAGACACACGTGGTGACAGAGACCACCATGGCCTTGAATACACCCCGGCCCACCTGGGAGGAAACAGAGCCAGAAGCTGCCAATGGCTAGACCCTTGGATACCCCTGAAGACTATAGAAAAATGTGGACATGGCCAACCACTCAGACGCTCACTAGATGCTCCTCCGCACACTGGGGCTGTGCGTCCTGGGGGCAGATGGGACCACAGCAGGGACGGGGTAGCTTCTCTACCCACCGATCTTGTACTCGCAGGGCCGAAGTCTTGGATCTTCCAGGATGTTGAGTCTCCGTTTCTTCCTCCAACAGCGAGCTGGGTACGTGTAGATCTGTCCGGGGGCCAGACCTGGAGTGACAAGAGCCATAAGAATGCAGCCTAGGAGCGGGCTGGCCCTGCCCCGCCCCCGCCCTCCCAGCAGGTACCGGGCCCCCGGTGGGTCTTCTCCATCCAGATGTAGCAGTTATTCTGGGCCACACCGGTCTGCGAGTCGAGGAAGGGCAGGCGCAAGCTGCGCTCTGCACACAGGCGCGCGTTGTAGCTGCGGCAGTGCTCTATGGCCTCGCGGTAGAAGTCCTCGCCTAAGCTACAAGGGGCGAAGGAGTGGGCGGGCCGCTGTCAGCGAGGGCAGGCCGGCCAGACCGCGCAACACCCCTCTCCCAGCCCCACCTGGCCCGGGTCGAGGTTGAGTGGGCTGACTCCTCCGGCCTCGCCTCTCTCCTCCTGGACCTCCTAAAGGGGACAGGGCCCAGGGTCCCCTAACCTGGGGCCCAAGGAGGCTTCTAGCTAAAGAGGGGATTCACACAATGTAGAAATAGACAAAAAGTCTATTTGGCTCTGGGACCCATCCGTTCCCATACATGTCCAAAGACACAACACAAACCAATCACACAAGAGTCACACCGGATTCACACACAAAGAGAGGCATATCCCAAGACTCACAAAGAAGAAATAGACAAATGTCACACATATGCACACACATGCACATCTACCAAAAAAATATAAATATTCCAAGTCACATAGTGTAGAAATGACAACACACACAGCCATGCACAAATATATACCACATATCTAAAGGCATGTTACACAAACACATTACCCACCCAAGATCCACACAAAGATGTACAAGGTAGAAACAGATAAAACACACACACTCATGCATCCAAGACACACACAGACACAAGTGCCCAAAGGCACCAACTGTAGAAACAACTCACATATATCCTTACACACATATCCAAAGACACAACAAACAAATCACACAATATCCAGAGACACAATACAAAGCAAGCACACAGCATCACACAGAATCCACACACACACACACTCAGAAAAATACACAACATAGAAACAGTGTCTCAAATACCACATATCCAGTCACGCAAAGATACACACATATACAAATACAACACTGAAATAGGCAAATCCACCCCTGTTTACACAAAAATTTAAACACACAAACACATATCCCTACATATCCAAAGACACAGCACAGACAAATCACAGTTTCAGTGGGCATGCACACACATCAGATACCCAAAGATATCTAGTGTGGAATAAAAGAAATCACACACATATCAAAAAAAAAAAAAACAGAACACGAACAAGTCACACTCACACTCTACACCGCAAGACAAAGATAGTGTAGACTTCACTCGAGTTTACCAAGGCCTCCGCGCCTCCGGGTCATTTCACCCTCCTCTCGACCCCGAGGGTCGTGGGGTGGGGACCATGACCCCCTTCTCCGAGGAGGCCCCCGAGGCCTCCCATTCCTCCGCCCCGCCAGAAGCAGCGCGTCGGACACCATTCTTGCCGGAGACCCACAGTCACACGTCCTCGTAGCCCCGCGCAGCCCCGCACACGATGACAGCCCCCCAGACACCCCATCGGCCCCACCCCCGGCCGCCACACACACACCCCCGCGCAGACCTGCCCGGCGGTCCTCCCCCGCCTCCCGCCGGCCCGCACCACCTCAGGGGGCCGGGGATGACCGTGGCCATCTTGCTCCCCGGGTCCTGCCCCCAGCAGGTCCCCGCCGGGTCGGTCCTCCCAGCGCTCCAGCGGGCGCCGAGGCCGCCCATCCATTCATTCCCGGGGGGTGGGAGGACGGGGGCCATAACCAATCAGGGCCGTGGGGCGGGCCCGCCCGGGCCATGCTGGGAGTAGTAGTCCCAAGGCTGGGGGCCGGCCAACCCGGAGGCGGGAGGGGGCAGGGGCAGGGGTGGGCCCCAGGGGGCACCGCAGTCACTCACAGCCACTCATTCACACACACGGTCGTTCATACACCCACCCCAGACTGACACGCGTACACACATAAGCCCCCTGGACTCACACCCACACCCTGCAGCTTACACACACATTAAACATTCGCATATAGACACACAATCTCTCATACACTCCCACACACACACCTTCACACGGTCTCACACAGCCACTCACACACAATTATACTTACACACCTACTTCATACCAAGAGACTTAGAGTCACCTTACAGACTTCCCCCAACCTGCACATGGCAGCTCTCACAAAAGTGCCTCACTGATAGTCTCTTCTACTCCAGGGATCCCTAGCCTACCCTACCCTACTTGGGATTGTCTCTCACCCCAAACACACTCACAGTCACCCCATTCCGCACAACGTCATCCACCAACAGGAGAGCAGCCACACCTCCTGGGTTCAAATCCTGGCTCTGCCACTTGCTGGTCATGTGACCTTTGGAACGACTTAATCTTTCTGGGCCTCCGTTTCCTTTTTCTGTAAAATGCGGGTGATGCCTCATTGGATTGTGAGCACTGAATGAATAAATATGGGGGGAAATGAGTGGAGGTGGGTAAAATGTTTTAAAAGGTGGCTGGCATGTAG